CGGTGGTGGTTTACTCCCGTAAATGGAGCAAAAGGTAAACTCAAATGATTAGTCTTGTATGTAGTATCAAACACTACCACATCTCCAAGACTCAAATAAGACGCTCTAGCTCTTCCATCGGCCCAGAACACACTCCTCATAGTACCAAGATGATCAACTTCCATAGCGAAATAAAAATCCGGATCTGATTCCCTCCTATCTTGAAAAAGTCTAACAATAGCTAAGCATTCAGTGCCAATATTATTGTGCCTTGTTGTTCTGATATGGTCGATTATTTGTTGCGTGGTGACTCGTTCGTCATCTTCTCCCTTGTAAAAAACATTTACCACACGGTTAATACTAGAGGGCTTCATTCCCTCTTCATGCAAGCTATCAATGAAGCTTCTACAAGCCTTTGATCGATGTCGTTGCTTGTGAGAAAAATGATGAGCTACTTTGTCGGGACTTGTTAAAGCATGAATATGTTCGGCAACAAACTTAGTAACCTTCCACGTTTTTGAAGAAGTCAACCTAATCTTCATTTTTGCATCACAATTAAGTCTAGTTTCCGGTCGGTGGTTGTTAATTATTCCACTTTCGTTTTCTCTCGGCACCTTCTTTTTCCCTGCTTTGTTGCATACAAATGTTCTGGGAAGAATCTCCCCTAAAGCCTTCTTTGACTTCTCCAAAGTGTCTTTGCGAATTCCAAACCCAATCTTCTTTGCATAAGCATTGTAATAGTTGTATGCATCTTTATCACTTATAAACTCCTTCCCTTCAAATGGAGTAATATCATCTAGTGGAATACTAGTGTCTAAGATAGAGCCATCGGGTGCAATGTCCGTCATTTCAATATCTCCCATTACGCAATTCTGTCATAATTAAAAAAACATACAAATGTTAATAAGAGCCTATGAACAAGTTAACACTCGCCAATGAAAAGAAAACTTTACTATAAGAGAATAAAACTAACATAACTAAGAGGATATAATAAGAGCCTATGAACAATGTTAACAACGTGAATGTTTCTAAAGCTTAATTTTCCCAAAGACGTGCTTTGGTGATGAAGGACATTATGAGCATTAATCAATGCATAATCAGATTCCACAAGAGCAGCAGATGGGAGGATTCTGAAAGTATGAAATAGTAGACATAACATTTTCTTAGTGCGTATGAAAGAGTAGATATAACATTTTCTCCTTAGTGCGTATGAAAGAGTAGACATAACATTTTCTTAAGAGACAAGACACGATTGATACCAAGATATGCTTTTACTCATATTATATGTGTTTTTCAACACCTTTGACCAAATGCTCGTCAAAGAAGATGGCCTCAGTCATTACATATCAGAGCTCACGTGAATGTGAAAAATGCCTTAGAATTGATGCTAGTTCCCCTCTAGCAAATTTTGCCTCCCTTCAGACTCTTTCTTACTCTAGGAAGATTTTTCAATTCATCAGAGGATTTTTCCCGGTGGTTCAACAAGCAATTTGAAAGTAACGTGGACAATTCAGAAGATTGAAGTAAGTAATCTTCATCATTGCTAATTGTATAATTTTTCATAATAAAATGTATTACCTTCTCAGCAAATGGTGTTATTATTGCCCATTGTTGCTCGCTCGAGGAGGCGGCTTCTAAGAGAATGTCACGATGAGAAGACGAGGCATCCATTGTTAATGTGGCGAGGGGGAGTCGGCAGATTTGCGATGACGGAGGAGGAGCCGTGGGGGCGTGATTGGGCTCGCGGCGTGGTCGGGACGGCGGCGGCGTGGTCGGGGCGGAGGCGGCGTGGTCGCGGTGTTGTCGGCGTGGTCGGGGCGGAGGTGGCGTGGTCGGGCGGAGGCAGCTTGGTCTTCGGCGTGGTCCGGCGTGGTCGGCGTGGTCCGGCTTTGTCGTGGTTCCAGAGAGAGGGGAGGGAGAGAGATTGGAATCGCTCTGGCTTCAGATAGGGAAGGGAGAGAGAGGTTGGGATTTGGGAAAGCCAGCTCACTCACCTCTCTAAAAGTGGATTTTTTTGCAAAAAGTACATCACCTTTCTCCATCCACTCATTGTTAGATGAAGGGCCAAGATTAATACACCTCACTACCAAGTTTTTTTGAAAAACTTAGTACCAAGTTTTCCCATATTTCTCTCTCTCTCTCTCTCTCTCTCTTCTCCTGCTCTCTCCTCTCTCCCTCTCTCTATAATAACAATATATATAACTATAATTAAATAATATATAATAATTTATAATAATATATATATATAATATAATACGAGAGAGAGAGAGAGAGAGAGGCCAAATTAATAGCAGTTCAGACAAATTTTTTAAGCCGCCTAACATCAACAAAGAGTCACTGGGATGTGAGGTTGTCACATATAGTGAAGGGCGCTCACCAATAGCAACGGACAACTGAAAAAAAAATGACATAAACCTCCCACCCCGACCCCCACCCCAAAAAAAAATCCTATGAATACCCCCTTGGCCTGAATCTCTTTCATTCTTCACAGCTCCAACTCTCTTATTCTACTACAATATCAACTCTCATCTTTTTCTCCATCTAGTATTTACAATACCTCACGTTATGGAGCACTACAACTCTTCTTCCTGAGCCTTTAAAATTCATCAGGTGCTTACACTTCTTCCCCCTAATAAAGTTTTGTTTCCAATGTATTGTTAATGATTATGTGAAGCTAATATGTTATCATTTTATGAGATGAAAAGTTTCTTCTATTTATTTCTCCTTATTTCTTGTAATTGGTACACTTGTATTTTATTATTATAAAATAAACAATATTAAAAAATAATATAAAAATATTAATTTAGAGAAAAAATTTTGAAGAACAGAAAAAGGGGGAAATTAAAGGAAAAGTTGGAAAAAGGCACAAATCGTTAGTCTCGTGAACTCGTCTCACCACGAGACAGTTCACGACTTGAGTCTAATGCTCAATTCGTGATCAGGTTATCAAATTCGTATTGTACAAATTCAAAACGAGATGAATCTGATTCGTCTCGTTCTGGATTTCATACGAGACAGGGACGAATTGACTCGATTCGTCCCATTGGCCATCTCTAAAAATAAGATAGACACCTGTTAAGTTAATCTAAATAATTAGGTTGTTCGGCATTGCTAATCAGATATATAGTAAGAAAAAAAAACTCAATGCCTCAGAGAACGCACAGACTACATACATATAAATCTAATTAAAGGAGATGCTACATGTAAGACGCAGAAGAGTAAGAAGAGGATAATATTTTCAGGCGTTTTTCTTTTCGCTCACACAACCAAAAGGGCACAAAGTACTTCGAATCAAGTTTAAAGAAAGAACCTGATATCTTTGGACATGATAATGATCACCACCCTTTGAAAAAATGGAGTCAAATCTATGAATTTTATAAGAAAAAAGGATGGGACGTCTGAAGGTTGAGGCCCCAAACCACTGCCATATCCCAAAAAAGGAAGCAAATCTTTAAACGTATCATACTAATCGCAGCTTTCTGCCTTTTTGGATTAACGCATCACAACTCACAAGCCTAGAGAAGAGATGCGTAACAACCATATCTGAATATGAGAAAACACAGTAAAATTGAAACGAGATAGTGGTGGGTGTGTACTGGGTTTTTCACCAGGATTACAAAAACAATCTGATTATAAAATTCAAAATTCAGAAAGTAATCCCAATTAAATCCAAGTAAGTACAAATCAGTCCCGTTATAATGTAGAAAATTATAAAATAGTCCGTTTAGTTATACAGAACTTACAAAACTGACCTAGAACATACTGAAATTACAAGATAACGACATGCATAGTGAAGTTCTATAGCATTAAATGTAAAGTATTTATGTAACCATGATATTCAATATTTGTGATCATATGGTTTTCTATTAAGACTGATTGACTAATATTTATCCCAACTAATTTTTCATGTAGTGATGACGTCTATTAAGATCGTCATATTTTCTAAATGGGCTAAAATTACCTTACTAGTATCTTTTAGTCGATTCCCTTTATCAATATGGTATTGTTAACTTTGGCTATATTAAGCCATTAAGTTGAGTTCAATGTGTAAAGTCTCAATTTCTTGCTCGCAGCAAGAAATAATCAATGAACTACTCACATGCAAACACTTGACCTTTTTTAACCGCTTCTAAATTATATTATTGTGGCAAATATTGGTGGTCGTGATAAAATTTGGCTGATTGGGGAGAAAAAACTTGATATGTTAATGGCTATGATGCATCAAAGAAGAAATTGACAAGAGGAAAGACAAAATACATTCATGAAACATAATAGCCTCTTCAAGCTCAAGCTCATGGTCAAATGACTTTCACAAAAAAATCAAAATAAGTTTAAAAAAAACCTTAATTTCTAAAACTCATATGAAATTACACCCAAATTATAGATTCTCCTTTAATTAAGTCAAGCTATTCAGAAAATGGGGAAATTAAGATGGGTGATGTGGAAATTTGGAGATGATTGAAATTTTAGGATTTAGTTATTTCACCTCCTACCCCTGCCTCGTCATAAATGGAGTTCCATGCATCAACTTTCAGTATAAGGTAAATTACTTTGTAAATCTTTAATTACAATCCAATTTTCACACAATTTTGGTCATCATTTTATGATCCGAACATATCATAGAATATATTTTATAGTAACATACACTTCATATATTTTACATTATTATTCTAATTCAATATCGGATATCAAAAACAAGGACTGCTTATTAGTTAATCAAATTTTTTGTATATACTCTTTTCACTTTGCATTTACATGCTCTCATATGCATACATTCAATAGTTCTTTAAAATATAAGATAAGTATACTTAGGTGCAACGCACATGATCTATATTAGTTGATTTCAAGGACATGAACTATTTCAAGGGATTTTTTGCAAATAAATAAATAAATAAATAAAAATTAGACTTCTTCAGTAATAGGTACAGATGAAGAGGACTAATCTGCAAATAACGACAGTGTTGTGGGGCTTAGATGCTTAAAACCACTTTTTAAGATTCTCCGTCGACAGCTAGCGGAGTCCAACTGATCTCGACGTCTTTTTAGTCTTCGCGCTAAATCTAGGGTTTCCAAATCTGGGGCAAATTTTTTGATTTCTAATGGAATTTCCCCAATCTTGGAGATCGAAGGTATCCTACAAGAACGCCACCATACTCATCTGCTGCTTGAATCTCGTTGCCGTCTTCTTCCTTCTCCATGGATCCGATCGAAGAAACGGCGGCCGATCTCCGAGATCCGATCCGTGTAAGCTCTTTTCCCGTTAAAATAAATTTATGGACAATTTTGAAGAATTTTAGCTGATAAAGCTGTGATTTTTTGTAATTGGACGGTTTATTGATTAGGAGTTGTAAGATTTTGCCAAGATTTTCGTTTGAGCGGAGTTGTCACTTTTTTGGTATTCATGTGATTCTAAAAATTACGCTAAAAATTACAAATTTTGGCGAGCTTCTGGAAAACTTAGCGGAGGAAGTGGGGATGTTTAATGGAAAAATGTAGTAGTTGAGCCCATTTTGTTGTCAAGGAAAACGATAACATCCTTAAACCTACAACCATAGCCCTGTGAAATTACAGGAATTACGAAAATATAGCGTTGATCAGTTATATGAAAATGTGGGCAGAAGGGAACCATGATCAATTCTAGAGAGTTTATGGTATCACAGGAGCTTTTCACTGATGTCTTGGAAAACTGATAGTCAACCAACACCTCTGAATACATTGCAGTAAGATGCGTACAAACTTTATTTACTAGAGGAAATAGATACATAATGTTATATGAAGAGATAGGAGAAGAGGAATACGCACAAGAGAAGGAAGTAAGAGGAGGGTTAGAAGATGAAGCAACAAATTAGCATAGCTGAATAGGTACCTTTCCTCACATAGTTAGTTGTCCACGCCAGTTTAAGTTGATGTCATCATACCAAGAGAAAGATTTGCGTACATCCAGACGTAAAGAGTGTCTTGCATCTCTAAGTTATTTGGAAATATTCTATCGCTTTATACATTTCAATAATGAAGTAGCAGACTAGGATGCCGCAATTCATTGATCTAGGAGATGTACTTGGATGTTCTGTCGCCAAGAGAGTCATAGTATTGTAGTCGACGATGGAAGTGGATTAGAGCACTAGCCAATGAGACTTGATCCCAAATTCTAAGTGCGAAGAATAATGGACGAAGATGTGATCATTGGACTTCTAGCTATTATTGCAAAAAGGAGATGTAAGCTTATGAACTGCATGAGATTATTGACAGTGAGCAATCTACCATATAGCATTAACCGCTGAAGAATACAACTGTCAAAAGCTGAAAACTATGCAGGTGGTATGATGGGTTGGGTTAACAGGCAGCCAGTGTGTAATTGGAATGTGATGTTGGACCCACAATTGAATAAGGGGACCAATCTTATCTGAACAAACATGTAAGAGTTCAAATCCTTTGTTTTTTTTTTTTTGGGTGTGGGGTGGGGGTGGGGGCATTATCCGATGGGTGGAGGCTAACATTGTACAAGTGCTAGTTGTCGGATCCCTTTTATGTATTGCAGTAGGCGACCATGCTAAAAGTCGAAGAAGAATAATACAAATGATTTCACTTTCTGCATGTTGTTTTTAAAGTATAATTGGAAGTTCGTTTTAATATGATCTATAATTTAGATAGACTGCTCCCTCCATACTGCTTAAAAAATAGATGCTTCTTTAAGTACCATATTCTCCTTATTCTTCTGTAAGCACTTCCTTTGAATGTTTATTTCTATTTTCTAGATATATCAAGTAATAATGTGCTAGCATAATGTAATAAAATTTAGAACTTCATTGGTAGTTATTTAATCTTAGATTAGTTTAATGCAGCACAAGGTAGATATTTCTTGGAGGCAGAGGAAATACGGCGTGCTATGGAGCCCGTTGAATTAATCAAAAGAGTAAGTATGCATATGTGTATTAACAGGCCAGTTTGATGAGTTTGCCTATGGTTATATTCTGAACTTCTTCTCTTTTAAATACGTTACTGACATAATGTATGGATTTTGACACATGTACATGTTAATGATTCATTCAAAACAATAACTTGGCCACCGCTACAGATTAAAGAAATTGGGCAAGAAGTCTATAGTGAACCAGGGCCCGAGATAAAACAAGCGCCGAAGCAGCAGACAGCTGCAGTTGATCTTTCTAAAAGATTAAAAGATAGGGCGATGAACGATGACAAAAGCCAAAGAGGTGATTCCTAACTCTAGGCTATGCAATTCCTTTGTTCCCTTTATTTCTCTAAATAAGACTAGCATATGAGAAGAATATTTTTTGTATCATAATTTTTGCATTGCTGGTCGTTAAGATTGTCTTTTTATACTCATCTTACCTGTCTGTGAAAACATACCTTCTCTTTAAGTAGGAGTATCCTTTTTGTTAAAATATCACTGTTTTAAATATAGGAAGGCATGTAGGCCTTGCCTTTTAACATTTCACTTTGCATGATAGTTGCTTTCAATTTGGTTACAAACCCCCTCAAGTTATATAAACTTAATCTTTTTCCTACAGTTTCTGAGAATACTTTGTCTCATGCATGTATGACATATCTGTGCAATCCTAATAGTTATCCAGATTATGAGTTATTGTAAAAAGAATCCTGTTTATTGAATCTCTGGGTGTAGTGAGGTCAATGTAACCTCGGTCAATGTGACCTCAATACATGAACCATTTCACTAAGAGTTGGGTGTGAAACTAACTTTCAATGTGTTGTCTTACTGGTTTGTATACACTTTATTAAATGACTAGCCTTGAATTTCATCTGCAGAGCTTCCGTATAATTTCTGCCACCAAAATGAATTTCATTTCTGAACCCAAATTCTGAACTTTATCTTCCTGAACGTAGGTTTTCACCATACCGGCTTCAATCTGTATCATGTGATATCTAATCTGCTATCACCAGCATTGTTTCTTGTCAGTTGGCCCCTCTCTATAGATCATTTTTTACTAGTAGTGTTAATTGAATAATTGTCGTTTTCAAGCTAAACAACTGATTCATTCTGTGCATCCAGCTCTTGAGGAATGGCGTATAAGAAAGATGGAGCGAGCAAGACTACGAGAGACTGGGATGGACGGAACTGTCATAACTCAAACTTAGGGCTTTCTCAGCTCAATGTTATTGATGTGGCTCTTTCTTGTCGTATCTACCGGAATATGGTCATGGAAATTGTTTAGAGACTTGTAAGGTTGTATGTAGGTCCGTTAAGTGTTGTATATACATCATTTGATTAACGACATTGCATCTCAAGAGACTAATCTTTAACCTTCTTTCATTTCAAACTAGCTACAAATTCTGAGCAATACCTGGTTATGCTAGCATGGATTTCTAATTCCTCCTGATCTGGCTTCAAAGGGAAAACCTTACAGCAATACAGAGAAATCATTTCCGGGGTAGGGCTATATTTACTTAATTTTCAATATAGAAGGTAAGAGTGACAGAGTAATGCAACAAAGAAAACTCAATTGGGAGATTATTAACTGATAAGCTGATATGTCAGCAAAAAAACAGAACTTAATTGTTCTTGCATTGTGTCCCTTCCGCTGTAATTTTAGGAGCAGCAATAGATGCCTCTCGCCCTTTTGTAAACAATCAGAAGTTCAAAATCTTTTGCAACAATTAACCGGCTAAAACTATGAGAATCCTGAGGGGAAAGTAAAACAAGCAGTCCACACCACAGGCTGTGGAAACTACAATCCAACTGCAAAAGGATCAGCTTAGTCTTTCTTTTATGCAACATAAGCTCATGAAAAGTGGAATTTCTTAGCAAGTTATAAGAACTGACAAACACACAAAAAAAACACATTCATTAGCAACACAGAAAACTTACAACAATAGCAACAAATATATTGCGACTACACGTAGATGTCTTCCTTGATACATATAAATGATACATATAACGGCGAAAATCATACCAGTATAATACATACTGGCATTTATATACAACATCAAGCTACAACTTAAACTTCTTACAGAACAAGGCCCCATCTCCAGAGGCTATTTGCTACACAAACTAAAACACGTTATTAACATAAGTTATGATGATCATTGGAACCCTTCTATAGCAGTCATCATGCAGTGACGACACTTTCCCAAGAACCATAAGTGGAGCTGAAGCTGCCTCCTCCGGTTTTCTGTGCATATTCTAAAATAACTTTACGGACACAAGCATCCCATGTTTTTGCCATATCCTTAAGTGACATTGGCTGTGAAAGGCAGCGGAGGGAGATACTGAATTTTGATCTCGCCTTGATTGAAAGATCTTCAAACTCTTTACTGTAGAAACCAATATTATATAAATCTTCAAATAACCTAGAGTTCATTGTTTTATTGTTGAAGATAGATCTACTGAGTGAATTTTCTTTTTATTCTTTTAACCCCAGATGGTCTATTTGTCCAAAAAAAATAAATCTCTCTCTTAGGGTAAAAGAGTTTTTTTTTTTAAAGAAGAAGAAGAAGAAGAGGGAAAAGAAAAAACTCACTCAAGGGCCTATCTGTGACATAGAACTACATGGTGTCTATCTGAAAATGGGCAATCGCACAGGGGGTCTACTCACCAGTCACCATTAACCTGACTATCTAAGATAATCACAATCCCATGAAACATGCAAATCTTCAAATTACAACTCACCTGGTCTCAACTGGAAGGCTGTCTAGAGGTACAGGCGAGCATTTTGGATAATTGACAGGAACCAGTAATCTCAAAGGCATAATGGGGGACTGCAGAAAGGAAAAGTAGCCAACTTCAAAGATTATACAAACTGATGCAACTACTAGATGTTTCTTTACTGTTCATTTGAAAACTCACTGTTTGTGCAGAAGCAAAATGAGCTTTCAAGTCTGGACTGAGGGCAACGGCAGTGTAAGAACATTTAACCACAGTTCCCTCTCCACCCTCGGATGCAGCAGCAACCATATCCACATCATCGTCACTTACATCAAGCTCTGTATCAATAAGCCTTTGATTTATCTCCCTTATCTCGTCCAACAAAGTGGGGTTGACCTGCAGTATGGTGTGTCAATTTCATAAAATCAACTGATGGGTTCCATACAAGAGGTACAAACACAAACTATGCCAAACGAATAAGATGGAAAAGTTAAAATTCAACAGAACCACTATTGATTACAAAGAAACTTTTTATTAAGACTGTTTTCCTATCTTTTGCTGACTCCCTAATGGCCACCAATTTCCCATCTACAGTAGTACACCACAATCATTCTTTTCACGTTTTCCTATCTTTTGCTGACCCCCTAATGGCCACCAATTTCCCATCTACAGTAGTACACCACAATCATTCTTTTCATGCAAAATGATCATTTCTTTCTCAGTTCTCTGCCATCTGCCTCACCATAAATTCCTTCTCTTCTCTGCTAAAAACCATTTTGTGCCCTCCCTAGCTTCCAACAAAGTAAAACATGAAGAAAGGTGAAAATCTAATCAAGAGGTGTGCTTAGATTGAGGAATAACTTTCACTAGGTAACTTAGGGGTATATTCTTCAAAGCAGCGTATAGCCAACATCTCATCAGCCATTATTTAGATAATAAATGGAAATGGCAACATGACTTAAATTTTCAACTTCGATCTAGTATAAGGAGCTTATATATGATTAATTAAAATGACCTAATAACCATTTTGACTTTGTGGTTTATTTTCTTTTCTTAATCCTTAAATTCATACAAAAATTGAAGATAATATTAATGTAGAGCTGATCCAATAAGATAATCAGGCGTCAGGCACACAGTAACTCTTTCTTAAGCTCCTCTGACTAAGTTCCAAATTAAGGCATTTAATAATTGGAGACTTCACATACTCTTACTTGACAATTATGAGACTTCATGTACTCTTACTTGACAATTATGAGACTTCATGGACTCTTACTTGACAATTAGACACACAGAAAGACACAAACATAGGATATCATTCCCCACATGTAAATATGTAGTATGTAGAAATTTTGCGGAAATGTCCATTTATGTTCACATCTGTACTATTCCAATGAAAAATGTTGATGACAGTTAACATCCTAAATTTCCCTTTTAAGAGGTAAGTGTTCAATATCTTGTGGTGATTAAAATTGTTGATCACAGTCTTTGCGTCCTAAAACGACTATGGTTGTAAGAACTTGGTCTGATGTACAGGATCCATTCCCACCTTCTCTCATTTGCTATAAGTTTGCCACCATTTTTTTTAAATTGATAAGGAAAGATATACAAATAGCTCACATATATGGTTGCACATTTATGCTAATGTTCTATCAGCGAATGCTTGAACAATTGACACATAAACACCATGTGGTAAATTTTTCGTTCTTTTGCAGGAGTGATGCAAAAGCATCAGCAGCAGCATGATTTCCAGTTGATTCAGTGTGGACAAAAATAGAATTTGCAATAAAATTGAGATATAAGGGCACATGAATTGAAAGAATTTGCACTTAACTGAATGCCTCAGGAAACAAGTGAAGAGTAAACGGAAAGTTCATGTCAGTTGTCTATAGCATAAAAAAGTGACTCAAGGATTGGATAAGATCTTACCTCAGGTTTGAGCCTCTTAATACGGGATGTTGCAGTGGACTCTAGTTCTGATTTTTCAAAACCAAATAACTGTTTAAAGCTATCATTTACACTTCCAGGCGAAGAAACATTATTTAAGGGCATAGCACTTGTGTGGCGCTTCATTTTCTTTGCTGCAGCACCGCCATCTTGTGACATGAAGTTTCTTGCTTGTAGACGACACTTCGTCATTGCAACTAAATCTTCACCAACAGCAGCTCTTGAACCATTCCCAGGTGCTGAACCTGCTATTCGGTCAATCATGCTAACCACGGATCCAATATCAGCGACAGACGAGTTGAGAGCCTGAGGTGTTAGTGACTGCATCTGAAAAATTTTATAAATATATGATTACATAGTTCCAAAAATTAAGAATACAGCCATTATTTGCGCATTGATACAAGAATATCTGACTGCTATTAAAAGTAGAAGTTGCTCAAAACTTCCTAATTATTAGAAAAGCATCTAAGTATGCTAAAGTAATGCACTGGACTTGGTATCAAATGTCCAGGCAAAGTGAGGCAAAGTAGAACTCAGTCAATCAACTGCTTGAAATTATGCTAATAAGTCAAAGAGAAGCCTAACATTTGTTGAAATCAAAGCTTCAAAGGAAGAGAGATGATATATGGATACACAAAAGATGGTTTCCATATTGAAGAAAGGTGTACAGACCGCAAGTGAAAAAAACAAGTGCTCACACTGATGAACAAGTGCTTAGTGTTGGACATGATGGACCTGTCAATTTTTAAAAGGAAACGCCCAAGTGCTCAACAATAAATAAGGAGACATAAAACAAGAACAATTTTTCAAAACAGCCCCATTTTGTTTTTTAATTTTTAAAATCGACCATTTTTTTTATTTACCAAAACCGACCCGTTTTTTGCCACGTCAGCTAATCACTTTCCTAAACAGTCGGGGTTGCCAACTATTAGGGGGGTAACAATTTTTATACTATTAGGGGGTGAACCAAGGGGAACTAGGGTGAATTAACTTCACCTCCTAAGTGTTCCCAAACAAGGTGAATGGAACTTATGTGTCAGCGCGAAAAAAGAAACTAAAGTAGTAGTACATCTATCTGCAATATGTTAAAGATCTAAAGTAGATCACTGAAAAATGAGTCAGCGCGAAAAAAGAAACTTATGTGTGCTTAGGTCTCAGAGCAGATGCACATGGCTTATTCTTGAACCGTTATCTTCCAAAGAGAAAGAATAGATTACTATTTCCGATCTGTCACCATACAGAGATATCATCACTTCCCACATATGGTACTTCTCATTGTTAGCCCTTGCACTTTGGATGTTGTTGGATTTGTAATGAAAATCTGCACTTTTCAAGCTAAGTTCGCAACGGATACCAGGTAATGACAGTTGTGTAAAGCAAATGGTATTTGTATAGGCAATTTACAGGCGCAAGACTGATAGATATGCATTAAGGCAGTCAAAATGGATGTGAAGGATCTGTTCCAGAATTTTTTATATTTCTTCATCACGTATCTAGGAGAACAAACACAAAGGGCTGATTATTGTGCAAATATCTCCGTTAAAAGGAAGAAGCAGTTCTTCTATGCTGCCACTAGGCATCAATCCAGTCTAATACCAAAGCATTGAAATGACAAAAATGGAAGTCCATTCCAAAGGCTTGGAGTTACACAGAAAGTAAATTGTTTCCTAGCACTTGTATGGTAATTAATTTTTTTTCTTTCCTATTTGGCTCAAAGATGTTTGCACCATTACACACCTCATGAGATAGGCATCAACCTACTTATAATCAGTAAACCCCATAACAATAAAGTACACTTGAGCAGAAAGGCAAGATGTGGAAAAAGTCCAGACATCTAAAATTAGTTCTGATTTAAACCCAAAACATAGAAATTTTCAATTCCTCAGAGGCAGTCTGCGTGAAGCTCCTGAATTGCTAAATAATGAATTCCAATTCCTCCAAAAATTGCATCCAAACAGATCTCACATATTATGCTATACTAACCAATTTTAACATAACACTATAACACATGCTTCGGACCATGATGCAAAATGAATTAATCCAAATAAGCAATTACCAAAGTTTGAGATTCAATCGCTCAACACTCAAGAATCATCTTTAACCTGTCATTTAAAACTAAAAGAACTACCTTAAATACCATGATATCACTACCATCCACATAGTATACATGTAAATTAACCAGCTTTATGCATTCTGCCAAGTTGAGAGACTCTAGATCATCTTGAAGTAACACTACTTTGATATGCACAACATCAATAACCCTTCCTCCTAACCACTTCAATTGAACAACGATTCCACTCCTCAGAGATGCCAGGGGCGCATGCATATGGTATATTAAGGATATTAAAGGGGCAATTGCGCCACTAACAATCTAGAAATTACCTTTTGAAGCCTTCTACAATTACAATTTGCCCCCATATTTTAAAAAATTTTGCACCCCAACTTGAATTTTTAAACAACTTGCATTTCGCTTTTATAAATTAGTAGCCCATTTTCATTCAACCCATTTTAAATTAATAGTCCATTTTCATATAAGTAAATAGATATTTGTCGTCCACCCTAAGAAAAATTTTCTGGATCCAACACTAAGAGGTACTATGCACTCACAAGATGTACTATGATAATATGTTCATAAGTCCATAAAGTGCTACTAACTCAGACTATGTAACATAGTCAAGGGACAAAAATAAACCTTATTTTTCACCATCAGATGATAATAAACCAGGAAGACCACATATCACATCTATGATTTTAAGAATTTTGACATGTAAAACATTGCATCTATGATTTTCAGAGACATAATCTGTGTGTGTGTGTGTGTGTGTGTGTGAGAGAGAGAGAGAGAGAGAGAGAGAGTGTGTGTGTCTTTTTTTGTGTGTGGAGAATACGCATTTGTTATATTATGTTTTACAGAATACAGTAAGAACACTTTGTATTAAATTCACTGCAACTGCACCTAATAAAATGATTGAATACAATTTTTCATACTTTCAGTTAGATGAGCCAAGTTTAAACTAGGCAACAAGTCAACAGCCCAGTTTCAATGAACTTCTTACTGGATTCTTTCAATGCAACTGTGAATTAACAAATGAGATTTTGGAAGCCAAATAAAAAATTGAAGAAAAATTAAACAATATGACTAACCACTTTAATTAAGCGATCTACAGGCCGTTCTGTTGTACTTGTTTTGAATGTTGCGGGTTCATTAGTCTGATTGCCATCTTGACTCGTGACTTCTGCCAACAAAGGTGATGCTGATATTCCAGGTGTGCTAACAGCGAGTGAATGTGGTTGAGGTGGCGCAACAGATGATTGTGGATGTCCACCTTGTTCAACTGCCGACATAGACGATAATGGTTTCTCAGAATCAACTGGAATGGGCGATGGAGCAGGAGTAACAACTAGAGGTGAATTTGCCGATTGCAGAGGACCTTTAGCTTTTGGAATGGATGACAATAGACCAATCTGGTCAATTTGAGGAGAAGAATGGTGAGAAATTTGTGGAGACGAAGCTTGAACATTTTGAGGAGATGAAACTGTATAAGAAGCTCCTGGCTTCAGCTGCTGGTTGTAGTAACTGTGGCGCTGACCAGCCGGGATGTCATAAAGTCCTGATTTCATGCCAACTCCTTGTCTCGCCTTCAGCTCGTTGAGCTCATTCATTGAGTGAAGCTGCTGCACTTGGTGTACAGGCATCTGTGGTGTTTGCTGCTGCTTTTGTTGTTGATGCAAATGTTGCTGCAAAGGTTGTTGCTGTTGCAATAACTGCTGTCTCTGTTGCTGGTGAATCATTTGCTGCTGTTGAATATGGCGCTGTTGGAATTGTTGTTTCATTTGCTGACTGTGCAGCAATTGTTGTTCCTGCTTCATATGCTGCTGCTGTAATACACTTGAATTTGGCTGCATGGTACTGACATTATTTTGTAAAGTATTTGCAGCACCATGTGACAGTGTACTCATGTTGTTTTGTTGCGATGTGCTCATGGAATTTTGCAGAGATGTCACTTGCTGCCCAGAGCTGATCGCACCAGGTTGCATTGAATTAAAGGAACTCCCTTGGACTGAATCAATATTAGAACTGGGCTGCAGTGTATTTGAGATATTCTGATGTGTTGTGGATAATGACATTCCAGAACTTTGCATAATTTGTTGTACCTGGTTTGCATGACTCTCGGGAAGCTGTAACTGAGAATTCTGAGATTGTTTTTGTTGTTGTGCTATTGGATGAGCATTCACAACAATAGAATGCTGGAACTGCTGTTGTCCTGGTACTTGCGAAGGAGTTTTCTTAGCTCTGTTTGAAGCCACCATGCTCATTATTTGCTTCTCATATATAGGAAGTTTCTCCTTCATACCAACTGAAATGTTATTTTTACTAATCTGCAGAAGTGCGAGCATACGCTCCAACATTGTCCTGAAATTTTTAAGCTTTTCATGCTGTTCTGACTGCTTTCCTGGGGGTACAAGTGCTTCTCGCTGCGGGCAGTAAAGAATTAATAGATATTTAAAAGAAAAAACATATCATCTAGCTGATTGGTTAAAGCCTCAATAATTTGAATAGAACAATAACCTGCTGCAACTTCAGAGCAATCATTTGATGAAACTCAGTGAGATCTGAAAAGTACTGGTCCTTCATAGATTTCACCTGCCATGAACAAGAATTTATCAACATTTGACAATATTCGAAACAAGATAAACACAGAAGAGGATAGATCTCAATGTTCTACATCCAAAACTAACGAGCCAGACAAATAAATTGTTGAAAAAGAAAGAGCGTTACATGAAAATCCATAAGAATAGCATTCCATAAGCCCAAATTTTTTTCAAGCACTTAGTAACGGTCATGAATCACCATCATAATAGCTAGTAGCAGTGTGGCCCTCTAACCGAACATTTATACAACAGCAACAACATCAGTTGTGGTAATGCCATCTAGTGAGTTTCTCATCTTCTAGTGGCAACAAGTTGGATTAACCCATTTCTCCAAGAATAGTCACCTATAAGATGTACATTCTTTGCATTCAGAACTACAAATAAAACAGTTAACTCATGTCAAACTTGACAGGCACTGCAGCCTAACTTCTTATAACACTATTTAGATGGGGAAGAAATCAGGCCAGAACCTACTCCAGCTCTTAATAGCATGTTAGAAAACCCATTGTTTTGGTAACTGATAAGCATGCCTTTTTATGCTACTAGAAATCCGAGAATAGAAAGGGATTTTTTATTTACATGCATGGGAATAAGACCAGAATAGATCAAGAGCTTTTTTTTTTAATACACCCTTCTCTATTCCTAAGCCCAGGCCTTAGCACTCGCTATGGGAGAAGTTTGTTTGCAGATTTGGTTCAAGTTGCTCTGAGCTCCAATAATATAGGAAGTGAAGTTTCAAGTTTTTGAATTTTTGTTATTTATTTTTATCTCTAGCTTTTATAAGGAATTTGTTGCAAATTTTAGTTGCATTACAACTTTTTTCAAAACAAAAGTCACGCAGTGATCTTGAACAGGGACCTAGAAGGAGCCAATTCCAGTAGTTGTACTTATACAGGGTACTAGTGCTAGGATAAGAAAAGTTCAGCAGCTAGGATCTTGAGTCGCTACAAATCATAATCAAGAAGTTATAATAGCTCCTATCTGAGGGTGTAGATTAGTTATGATCATTTGAAAGACCGGGATCTTCAATTATCACTTTCCCTCTCCCTCTCTCTGATTCTCTTTCTCCTATTTTCAGCTTGTACAAGTGATCAGAATCAAGGACACAATCCAGTATGTCTTAATTTGCCCTCATTTTTCTAATGTTCCGACTTCAGGCCCTACTTTAATAGCTTGCAAATTATAAAATATATAATGCAGCTCTCCATTACCACTTCTATCACTTCTTTTATTCCTATTGTCCATTAAGTCCATAAAATATGTAAGGGTAGCAATGCAAGCACCACCTAAGGCAGTTTGATCTCACCACAATGAAATACTTGCCAAAAACTAAGAGCTTATCAAGGAAATATGAAAATCCATGCAATATGGCTTGAACAAAAAACCATAACTACGCATTTTGATAAGACACTCGCCTTCTGATAGCACTCCTCTTGCCAATCAATAACGCCTGTCTGTCCTGTTTGAGCTGTCGAATCCATTGATGCTGTAAAACACGATGTATTTTTAGTTGAGGGGGAAAAACCATACAAAACGAAAGAATAGCTCATTATTAATTAATCAATTTTTCAACAACATCAAGCCACCATAATGGCCTTTCAAAATAAAAATCTTGTGAAACTGAAAGTTAACAGAAGTTCTTCACATTTTCTTATGGAAAATTAATAAAAATGATTATGCACCAAGAACCACGATTCTAACAAAAAACATTATGTCAAGGGAAGAATAAATTAAACAAACAACTTAAGGGCTAGTATTGTCAGTGTTTCATCTCATAATTCATTTACAATTTTTTTCCCTAAAACTACTGCTGCTTATAAGTCCTAAAGATTTTGGAAAAAGTCCCTTTCCTTCAAAATAAAGAGGCAAGGATAAAACATATGCCATCAAACAACAAACAAAATGCTTTACAGGAGAACAACGCACATAAAAATATAACAAGAGTCGAGATGAGCATTGCTTGTAATAAGAACGGTGTGTGCAAGAAGCAAGTACAAATTCAATATTTAGCAAAATCATACTGACTGTAATGCATTGTAGTGAGTTTGAGAGGAGGTAAGAACACTTCAAATCAAGTTGAATAGATAATCACTTCTTTAGTCAGCGGAAGCAATAAGAATGACACAAGAGTTCATTATGGGGCTGTTAGGTTCATTTCCAACAAATAATAGAAACCATTATTTGACCGGAAAAAAAAAAACTCATTTCCAAGCATTTCCCGTAGTTTCTTGGGAAAAAAATTTCTTTTCATGTTTGTTTCCACAGGAAAATAAAGGTAGAATTAGATTTCTTTGCGTACCATTGTTTGGAAACAATTTCCAAACAAAGAGGAATCCTTCATTTATGAAAAAGTTTTATTCCTAATTAATTGGTCCTGTTCCCCTAAACACTCCAACCAATGTGAATATTATTACATTTTCCAAATTTTTTCCATCCAAAAACTAGGTATGGCTTTTCCCATTCTCAAGGCCTATTTCATAACTCTAAATCTTTTTTTTATTTTTCTCAACCTAGCCAAACACGAAAAAAGGAAACATAAATAGAAACTATATTTCTTTGGTGGGGGTGGAAACCCTTTTTCAAGGTTTCAACCCCAACCAAACAGCCCCCATACCAGACATAGTAGCAACTGAACAGCAAACTATAAAGAGCCCAATGGGTGAACCTCCAGCATATGCACAAGAAATGCACTGAAAAAAAATTATCCAACTAATGAGTCTAATGACTTACTGCTAGATGAAACCTCTGCAAGCCCTCTTTGTGTCTGAATGAATGGCTTCTGTTCCATTGCATTCTGAGTTTGAAGTAGGGGACCTGAACTTTGAAGTCTTTGTTGCATCTCTCGTTGCAAGGAATTTGATTGCTGTTGCAGTAACAATTGTTGCTGCAGTTGGGAAGGCTGAGACTGAAACTGGGACATGAGTTGCTGCTGTGATGATTGATGTTGTGATTGCTGACCTTGTGACTGCATTAATGAGGTTTGCTGCTGCTGCTGCTGCTGCTGTTGTACATTCTTTTGCATAATCATTGCCCGCTGATGTGGCTGCATATTTGAGACGCTAGAAAGTGGTCCGAGTAACTGCTGCTGCTGCTGCTGCAGTCCTGACATGTTATTTTGAGAACCTAACTGCTGCTGTTGCTGTTGCTGTAAAGCTAGGTTTTGCTGATTCATCATTTGTTGCTGTTGTTGCATGCTTAGAAGACTATTTTGCTGGACCGGCAATCTCTGCTGCTGTTGAATGTCTGGAATACTATTTTGCTGGCCAAGTAGCTGATTCTGTTGCATGTTTGACATATTTCCTTGCTGACTCATCATTTGCTGCTGCTGTGACAAGGTTGATTGCTGAGACATAGATGCTGACTGTTGCTGCAGTGAAGATGCTTGCTGATGTGAAGGTTGAGCTTGCTGCTGTCTGGCAACTGACTGTGGATTTTGCTGAATTAAAGATGGGACAGATGACTGAATTTGATTCAGTTGATTCTGTTGAAGCCCGGGTTGTGGAGCTGACTGCGAATTTGTTGCCTGCGTCTGCTGGATATTAGCCTGGTTTGATTGAAGACTGGATGACATTTGCATCATTGGCTGAGAAGACTGTAGCTGGCTTGACGGCAAAAGAGACTGTCGCGCCGCAAGAGTGAAGAATGCAACTTCCGGTTAAGCAGCTGCTGCTGGAGCTGATGTTGGTAAATAAGTGGATTCTGTGATTGCTGTTGCTGCTGATGCTGCTGTTGTTGCTGGGAAAGAAGCTGCTGCTGTTGCTGACTTCCTTGCATCTGTCTTTGTGCATTGGCATAAATATCCGCCTGTGCTCCTTGCCCTATAGGATTATTCACAGAGCTCTGTGCTATACCAGAAATGTTCTGCATGTTTGATCCCTGGTTAACACCAGTTATGTTGGATTGACTGAGTCCTGAGATGGGTGGCAATGCAGGAGGCAAGGAGGAAGAACCTTGTACGGCGGCAGAAGTGCTGTTTGGGAGGTTCTGGGGTAAACCTGACTTTCGATTAGGGACAGCTAATGGTTGCCCAGGGTTGTTCATCTGTGACTGTATGCCAAGTGATCCTGTTGTAGAAAGACACCAATGTAACCCACACATTGGTTAAAATGACACGGAACATATCTAGCCACAAACCCCATCTACTAAAGGGAGAACAAATTTATATAATATAAGCTCTTGAACTTAAGAACAAAAGACCGATCTTCTAAGTTTAAAGTGAAATGGTAAAGGTAATGTAACAAAATCTGTCAATAGCTCACCTAAGCAGAGGGGAAAATGTTACTATGGTGACAAATTGACAATAAACAGATTTTAAACTATTGCACCAACTGTTCAGAAAAGACCATGCAAACAATCAAATCACAACATCTATAGGAACATTTTCTTTACCCCAGCAAATCTATTATCCATGATGTTAAAGTTAGGTGTTAAGGCTTGTATGCAGAAAGCATTCATGGACGTGAGTTGGTTGTATAGAGGCAGGATCCTTTTGACAATTTTCAACACCCGGACACCAATCAATGACACATGCGCACATGCACATATTGGATCCTGTGTAAAAGCTGGCAGCTAATTTTTGAGCTGCCAGCATGTAAGACTTGATCTTTCACCTGCTCAAATGTGACGAGTAGGATGGACCCACCCAACTGCTAATAGTGTATATATTCAAGTGAGGAAACATCAAATGAACACCAAACATGGAAAAAATATGCAATAAAGTTGGTTTACCATATGTACTGCAGACTATATCAACATCTTCATGTTGGGTAGTCCGCATATATGGTGAAAGTGAGAAATAATAATTCAAGACAAAGCCTAAAATTAAAATGAAGCTCGCACTAGTTTAGAGCTGGGACAAGCATTCCATTTATCAACATACACATTGAAAATAAAAAAGAATACCTGGATCTGCAATATTTTGGTTCACTGCACTAGTATTTGGTATTGATGGATTAATCGGAGCTGACTGTTGAGTCTTTGTCTCCATAGAAAGCATTTTTAGAGAGATTTTCCGCAGATAGTCCGACTGAGATAAGTTAGAAGGTAAAAGTTACTGTCTATGGAAGCTTAGTTTCAAATAATGACTATAGAAGCAACAAAGAGAAAAGCATCTTTTTGATAATTATGAACATGCTAACAATCACGGGCTAATGAAAAATCTCTCTAAAATTTTGATAAGTAGGAAAATGCTAAGTGGACGTCTCTAAAATAGCACCTTAACAGCTATGTACACTAAATACCAATACATACTGCAAATGTCAAATTGGAAACTCTAAAATAGCACCTTAACAGCTATGTACACTAAATACCAATACATACTGCAAATGTCAAATTGGAAAAAGAAACTCTGACACTATGATTATGTATGACCTTGAAGTTCAGCAGTAGTGAATTATCAGAATAAGTTCAACAATTTTCTACTTAGTGACTATTAGATTGCATGTTATTGCATTTCAACATCAACCTATAATTCAGCAAATTGAGAGTCATGGCCAAATGGTTAATTAAAAAATTATTTTCCTTCGTAGACTTTACCTACAAAGAAATATTCATTTTCACAAACATGGCAAGAGTTCATCGCGTATGACCTTGAAGTTCAGCAGTAGTGAATTATCAGAATAAGTTCAACAATTTTCCACTTAGTGACTATTAGATTGCATGTTATTGCATTTCAACATCAACCTATAATTCATCAAATTGAGGGTCATGGCCAAATGGTTAATTTAAAAAAAAAAATTTGCTTCGTAGACTTTACCTACAAAGAAATATTCATTTTCACAAACATGGCAAGAGTTCATTGTATTAGTCATGTATATCTAATACAAAAAACAAGGTTCATTTTTTGAAACTACAGTAACTCATACATTTTATGATGTATATGAAGTAGCTCATGCTCTATGGGGGCGATTGTAATTAGTACATCCGGTGTCATCATGTCAGCTTTGAAACTCTTCCCAATCGATTAATGGATGTATGATTGTAATTAGTACATCCGGTGTCATCATGTCAGCTTTGAAACTCTTCCCAATCGATTAATGGATGTATTAGATAACTTAAAAACTAGCAGAAAGTGATGTCAGCTTTGAAACTCTTCCCAATCGATTAATGGATGTATTAGATAACTTAAAAACTAGCAGAAAGTGAAATTTTTTATGTTTAACATGCAATCCTTCCCTGTGGGAAGGGCACAAATAGGCCTTAAAATCGCAAAAGCAGGACTACAACCCCCCAGATCTCTTGCGTGGTGTAAGAAGACTTTACCATTGTGCTAGAGTGACACCTGACATGTGACATCAACTAACAATAAATTAATATGCAAATCAGCTCATCACCAGTGCTTCATGCACAGAAAAAATTATTCTTGCCCTAACCAGTTGTTGAAAGACCTTAGTCAGTGTTCATGTAGCAAGGTAATGAAACAAAGACAGTTGTACCCTTCTGACAAGGTTAAATGGCTGAATAAGGTTAGAAAAAACAGCTGCCAAAACATTTCTAGCTATAACAAGTGATCATCAATTAAAGATGGCAAAAAAGTAAATTTAGTGCCAATGGATGTACCTGACTTGTAGCAGCAGTATAAATTTTTTCCTCAAACCGAATAGCAATTTTCCTTAATTCATTGAAGCCCTCAGGAACATTTATCGGTAAATGTCTCTTTAAAGTCTCCAGGCTGCAAAATAATTACATCAATAGGATAACTAGCTACAAGATATTGCTAAGTGGTAATTATGATGTGCATATAACAAGGGTCCATACTACTAAACATTATCAAACAGTTCTCCAGAAATTGGAAGAATTATGCCAAATAAAAATTAGTTTAAATTATTCAATTAAAAGTGAATAGGTTGAAATTGCTTTGTCAGGTCAACAGTGAATAAAGTGAAGCAGGAGAATCATGCAAATATTCTAAATGCAACACCACACAACTCATTTCATTTTTTAATCTCTGTTAAACCTATACTAATAAGAATTAGCAATTGTCAGTTTAAGTCATTTACACTTACAATAGTCTTAAGTCAAGAAATAAACATCCAAGTATAATAACATATACCCGATTAAAACTAGTATTTCTCTGCGAACTCTCTCCCCCTGGACTCCCAGCAATCTTTAATGGACTTAAGTACTCAAGTAGACTAGGATGAAACCTGTAAATTTCTTTCTGTTTTTTAAACCTGATAGGCCTCGCAAGTGAGAAGATAGATTAAATCCACACTAGTCAAGCAGATTTCACGATAACCCTAATTTCTAGGAGAATCTACTGTATAGAGGGGAACACATCATGCTTCAGAAGAATCCCCAGCCCACTGAAATCCACGAACTTGACTTTAAATTCTTAGGCCGATGTTAAACTCTCACATCAATGGCGTTGACCCAAATCCTAAATCCAAAAATTATCCAGCAGAATTCTTCTGATCCCAAATCAAATAAATTCCTACCCACCAAATAAAAAAGCATATCAGGAAACTTAAATCCCCCTCATTATCTCATTCTGTAACCCTAGCCTCACAAGCATCAAGAAACTCCCAAGTCCAAGACCTAAGACTACAAATTCATGAAATAAATCAAATTATAAGCAAAGAAGAGCTCATCCTGGTGACAATCCACTGCATCATTCTCAAAATCTAGCCTCAAAAACATTGACGAAACTCCCAAGCCCGAAACCTAAAACTCCAATTCATCAAATAAATCAAAAACAAAACAAAATGGAGTTCATATTACATGTTGTTGACAATCTGCTGCCTCATTCTCTAACCCTAGCCTCAAAATGATCAACAAAAACCCCAAATTCAAAACCTAGCAATCCAGTTAATCAACAAATTCAAACTAAAAGTAACGAAGAGCTCATCCTACATCTTGTTGGTGATCCGCCTCATTCTCGAACCCTAGCCTCAAAAGAATCAACAAGACCCCCAAATTCTAAACACATCACTCCAAATAAGCGAATAAATCAAATTACAAGCAACACGAGCTCATACTACACCTTTCTGACCGTCCGCTGCCTCACTCTCGAACCCTAGCCTCAAAAACATCGACAAAACTCCCAATTCCAAAACCTAGAACTCCAATTCATCAACCAAATCAAATACAAAGTCAAAAAAAAAAGGACCTCATATTACATCTAGTTCACGACCTGCTGCCTCATTGTCTAACCCTAGCCTCAAAATCACCGACAAAGCCCCACAAATCCAAACCTAGAACTACAAATTCTTCAAATAAACCAAATTACAAGCAAAGCGAGCTCATCTTACACCTTTCTGACCATCCGCTGCCTCATTATCGAAAAATCATCACCAAAACCCCCAAATTCAAACCCTAGGACCACAAAACTCATAAAATAAACAAAATCACAAGTAAAAGAGGAGCTAAGAACATCATACATCTTGTTAACGATCCGCTGTCTGGCCTCAGGCTGGAGCTGAGACCTCCAGTCGCCGGAGGATCCATCCATCGACGACGCCATGGACGCTGCTTCCTGCTGCGTCGGCCTCCAGTTTCCCTCCATCAGAAGAGGAACCGATCACCGATCGAGAATCAGATGATGATGATGATGAAGTGATAATTATAATAAATATAATTATTGAGGAATAATGAGAATTTGAAAAGGAAGAAGACGACGACTTTCGTTTGTATTATTTGGAGAATAATTAATAAACTGTTTTGGCTCTCTCCGCCTCTTTTGGTTGAGGAGAACCTCGGTGACACCGCCATCATTTTAAAGTGGCCCTACATAAAATGGGTAACGAATTTGCATATAGGTCCTTGTCATTTTAATAATTTTCATTTTGAGCCCAGACTCATCCAATAATTCCATGATTGTATCCAATGGCCAATGGGATGTAGATGCGAATATTAATATTTACTAGTTTGATTGCACGTGCAATGCACGTGGTAAATTTTTATTTTTTTGTTTTAAATTTATAATTTTATTTATAATGTTTTGTTATTAAATTATGTAATGTAAGTAATGGATAAAACATATAGACATAATCTAAACATTCAACACATTTGAATAATTAAATTATATTTATTGATTGATTGGGAGGGGCAACGCCAATTTGTAAGTTGGTTAAGGGCTCACATTAATTTGTCATAAGTGAATTTTCGTTGCAAAAATCAATACCGATTAGATTTAAATTAAATGGAACACATTTGACTGTTGGAGAGAAACTTATAAGAATATAAAAAAATTACAAGTTAAGAAGGCAAAAAGCTGACATCTACCAACAATGAAGTGTTTCCCTATGTATTTATGCAGTTTCTTTCACTGTGATGTAATCGTCCAAACATTATACATGCATTATGAGTCATGCTCTCGGTACAAATGTTTCACTCGATGACTCACTAAAGCTACTAAACTGAATGATTAATGTCACATTTGAGACGAGTAATACAACGTTAGAGGTTAGCCGTCGCTTTCTTTAAGAATGGGCTTTATTCAATAGTATTTCGAAAGTCTGCTTTCCAGAAGATTGTCCAAAAGTCCAAGCATGTGGCCAAGCCAATTGAACCCTTGCTGCACCTTCATCATTATAATTTAAACAATACTGATTAGATTTATATATAAATGTTATTAGGTCATAAATAAAAAAGCATCAAAAATACATGCATTTAATGATGAAGAATTAAATCATTGAATAGTTTACTGCCTTAGTTTCATTGTTTCTATAGTAGTAGAATGTATTTTATAAACCCCATAATTTGCTTAATCATGTGTCCATAATTGGCTAAAATGTCCAGAATCATACTCTATCACCCATTATTAGTTGTAAATGAGAGAATTCTACATTAAGGTTCTTCGAAGTTAAGGGCGGAAGCTCAAAAAATGATTACTAATTGTTTGCCTTTTTTAGTTTATTTAGTAGTAAATGTGAGTCTTCTACATCATGGCTCTTTGAAGTTAAGTGGAAAAACTAAAAAGTAATTGCTAATTGTAGAAAGGGTGAAGAAGGCAATACTATTTGAGTGGTACTTGAACCCATCAAAATGTTAAAATGCAATTTGCTACGAGTATTCACATTTGAAAAACAATGGTGTCTTGTCACCGCAGACATTCATTTTATTCAAATCGTGCAATTTTCTGAACCTATAGCAAAAGTAGATCTATAGCAAAAGGAGATTGTAGTTCCCAACTTGAGGTTGACATAACACACCTGAAGGTATTTATGATAAATTGCCAAAGGTGCATAATATGATAAAATTGGTAGTAAATCTTCAATTATACTCTCCACATCCATTTCTGGTGCAGCAACTATCAAGCTGCAAGATTAAAAGGGAAAAAAATGCAACACTTTAACAATCAGTCAATAAAATCTTGTTTAAAGATATTTTATCCCAATTTTTTACCTAGTAAAGCCTTTAACTTTCCATGTTTTTTTGTTTTCTGATGATGGCTTCCATCCTGCAGGTATTTTTTTGGCACTAAGGTAGAAGTGCTCTGATGTGTGTCATCAACTCCATCAGAATAACATGGCAATAAGGACGTATTACAGGCATTATAATGTAGTTCTAAAGACTGGATGTTCGGGTCCTTTTCAAAGGAAACATCTACATTGTTTTGAGATAGAGATAATACAGAAAATGGTGCTTGAAGAATCCTGCATCAATAAGCATCAGTACTTCAATAAGTAGACTGCGGAAAAAACATATCCTCGTTTCTGTATAATTTTCCTCTTCGATTGTTATGCGGTTAGAGCATGTAAAAGGGATGCTGGACTATACCTGCGGCAGACTTTGTTGAATGTCACTAAAGCCTCCATACGAATCCAAGGCATATCATTCTTTGTTGAATGTCACCAAAGCCTCCATTGCCATTGTCTGAAACTCACAATTGGAGCTACCTACACTGCTTAAAAAACATGAATGCAATGAAAATTACAACTCATGTTATTACTTTGTCATCTTCTATCTCTTTCTCATTTATCTTCCCATCGCAATGTTCAAAGCTCATACTTCACTTTTTCCAGGTCTATACCTTCATTTGTACTTGGTGGAACTTTCACCTTCACCATACCTTGACTTTTTAAATTATGTGAAGTTAGAACATTAAGAAATAAAAAGGATAGCGAAGACATGGCCTTCACTGATTTGGCAGTGCGTGTGAAAAGTGAAGGGTTAAAAAGTAAAGGGTTATTCACATATTACCTTGTTTCAACACCTACAATCTTCCATCTCTTTTCATTTCTCTTCCTATCGCAGATTTTTTAGACTCACCCCCGCTATTAATTATTTCATACCACTGATCTGCTTCACAATATGATAGCCAAGGTAGTAATAGAAGTTAGCCGCGTCAAAAAGAAAATATATGCAGTGCAGTGCACAACAGAACAAAACAAAAATGAATATCCGCATCGATCATGGCAAAAACTCCAGGCTTCACAAGGAGACAAATGCAGAAAATTATAAAATAATGAATAGCATCGATCATGGCAAAAACTCCAGGCTTCACAAGGAGACAAATGCAGAAAATTATAAAATAATGAATACGATCAGACCTAAAAGTGTCTATATTATCAAGCAACAACACCTTTGATGTGAAAACCAATTATGCACGGAACTGATCCATATTTCTCCTAACAAGGGTCACATTCCATTTTTACCATGAATGATTATCCACTGTAAGGTGATTACGACCCTTAATAAGAAACCGCATACTGTCATCTTATACTGCCTCAGGTTGAAGAATAATGATTATTCAAAAATAAAAACAACAAAATAGAGATAGGCCCATCCACAATCCAACAATTTCAAAGAAAGAAACTTTACCTGTTTGGACTCAAATTCCCGCTGCCACCTCCGGGAATCCCAAAAATCTTGACACATCTCTCCGCAATAGTGCCCAACTCTATAACGAGTTTTCTCGCGAATCACCTCCGCTTGCTGCAAACACACATAACCTAAAGTTAACAACATTTGCACACAAAACTGCCAAATAAAGTAAAACCTTGCAAGATTAGCCCTTTACCTGATACACAAGGGGAAATTTTGGCACCAGAAAAATGGCCAGCATCTTTCTATCCTGCTTCAGCATGTCATTGTACAAGCTCTTAATAAGCAGCACCGCTATCAGAGTCTTCCCTGCCCCAGTCTCTAAAAAAGCTATAGTGTTCTTCTGCTTCGCTTGTTCAAGAACATCGAACTGGTACTTCCTCGCCTGCTCCTCCGCCGGCTTCTCCTTCTTCTCCTCTTTCCCGGGGCTCCTCTTCTCATCTTCCAAACCTCCCAACCTCGTCCTTTTTGAGTCTCATATATTTGACACATTACATATGCACTGCATATATTTGACACATTACATATGCACTGCATATACTATATTAGATACATGATTCAAATATCACATACAGTGTACTATACTATTTGGACGTATAGTATGTACGCTGGAACATAAGATACATGCAATACATATTACATTTATATCATGTATGATGATACATATATACACTTATGTTTGTGTGTGTTTTGTATATTAAAACATATTTATGACTAACTGTGACATGATGATTTACTGACTATATATATATATATGTACTCTATATGTTAATTGTTTGTCTTTACAAATGTAGAACACTGTGTCGATGATACTAATTTTAACAATTCTATTGGTAAATGAGTTGACCTGTTTATATTTTTCAACATACAACTTTTATGTGTTTTATATTGAATGTATGATGATATACCACTCTATATGTAGAATTAGTTATCTTGATGATGTCTGTGACAACATTTAGTTGACATCACAATACTCTTATATAATATTGTGTAATAGTCTTTAACATGTACTATTCAAACACTATGATACTAAATATATTATTTACATGTTCATTTGCGTTCTGTTAATTCATCATATAAGAAAGTTTGGTTCAGTTTGGTCATTTCAAGGTAGTCATAGAAAAATACATACTTACTACAAATTAAAAAAGAGTAGCATGAGGTGTCAAATAAGTAATTAATCATAGAATTAAAAGAAGCATCAGAACTTAAAACAAGTATTCAAAATTTTCCCTTCATGAACAATGTGTATAATTTCAATTTTAGCAAAAGTGAACAAAGTTAAAGTAACAATTCTGTGAAATAGAGTGCTAAAGTAAAGTCACAGACTCATGTAATCAAGAGCAAATTCAATTCTGATGTTTTTGTTATCTCGTCATTGTTAGAATTATTCATCAAATGTGGGCTACTGAATGTTGTCTGCTGCATATTTTCGAAGATGACACTCAGGAATCTAGTGACATGGAGCACAATGATATCTGTGCTTCAAAGCCAATAACACAATTTGGTGAAAAGAATAAACACAATTCTTATATCAGATAATCCTTTGGAGCTTAATCATATATTTGACAGTATTACATTTATAACATATATTTGACACATTACATATGCACTGCATATACTATATTAGATACATGATTCAAATATCACATACAGTGTACTATACTATTTGGACGTATAGTATGTACGCTGGAACATAAGATACATGCAATACATATTACATTTATATCATGTATGATGATACATATATACACTTATGTTTGTGCGTGTTTTGTATATTAAAACATATTTATGACTAACTGTGACATGATGATTTACTGACTATATATATATATGTACTCTATATGTCAATTGTTTGTCTTTACAAATGTAGAACACTGTGTCGATGATACTAATTTTAAAAATTCTATTGGTAAATGAGTTGATCTGTTTATATTTTTCAACATACAACTTTTATGTGTTTTATATTGACTGTACGATGATAAACCACTCTATATGTAGAATTTGTTACCTTGATGATGTCTGTGACAACATTTAGTTGACACCACAATACTCTTATATAATATTGTGTAATAGTCTTTAACATGTACTATTCAAACACTATGATACTAAATATATTATTTACATGTTCATTTGCGTTCTGTTAATTCATCATATAAGGAAGTTTGGTTCAGTTTGGTCATTTCAAGGTAGTCATAGAAAAATACATACTTACTACAAATTAAAAAAGAGTAGCATGAGGTGTCAAATAAGTAATTAATCATAGAATTAAAAGAAGCATCAGAACTTAAAACAAGTATTCAAAATTTTCCCTTCATGAACAATGTGTATAATTTCAATTTTAGCAAAAGTGAACAAGTTAAAGTAACAATTCTGTGAAATATAGTGCTAAAGTAAAGTCACAGACTCATGTAATCAGGAGCAAATTCAATTCTGATGTTTTTGTTATCTCGAGTGCTAAAGTAAAGTCACAGACTCATGTAATCAGGAGCAAATTCAATTCTGATGTTTTTGTTATCTCGTCATTGTTAGAATTATTCATCAAATGTGGGCTAATGAATGTTGCCTGCTGCATATTTTCAAAGATGACACTCAGGAATCTAGTGACATGGAGCACAATGATACACGGCTGTGTTCAATTTGGATTTCCTACAGCATCGCTGAGGCTTTTCTGTCTTATGCAACAGAAAGAAGGTTTAATGGCTGATGCCACATCTATAGCTGGTGTTATCGAAGCCGTTGCATAAAAAAAATTAAAAGAAATCACAGGCGAAATCAAAATCTGAAAAATAAAAGAACTAAATTAAACTAAACTTACTTTATAGTCGCGATACAGCTGCTGAACGTTTGTCGCTTGAATCTGTAGAAAATTGAGAATTAGGTCAAAATTATTAGGAACAAAATGAGAGGACTGAAGAACTGAAAGGCAATAGGGTGAATTAAGCATAACTAAAGCTTAGATCTAGGGTTTAGTATAGAGGAGTGAAGACGAAGAAGACATACCTTTCTGAATGCAAAAATTCTGAAAGCTGTGTAGATGAACGCTGAGGCGTCGCGTTGATGATTAGGGCATTAATAGTCATCTTTGCAAATTGAGGAGTGGAAGTTCGTGGGACGGCGATAACAGTAAGCGATGAACTCTTCGGCTTCAGCAGAGAGAAAGGCGCTTAGGTAACCGAAGATCTCTTCGGCTTCGGCAGAGAGGAAGGCTGATTTCGCTTAGACGGGAAAAATTGGGTATATTTAAAAGAGGTAAAGGTTAATTTGGGAAGGGGAAAGTTTTTCAGGAACTGGCTCTTTTAAAGGGTAGATAGATATCTGATAGGATATAATTATGAATATGAATGTGTGTTTCAAATTTTCATATATGCACATAATGAATCGAATGATAGGTAATGTATCTGGAGATCCGAATCTATGTATTAGCCCTAGATTAATACATTCACTACTAATTTTGGTGGTACAGAGGTTTAACGTTGACATTTGAGATATGTTAAACATGTTGGCGGACAGACATTGATTTGAGGAGTTTCGTTCTAGTATGTCACGTGAGATATGCACTATTCAATCTTATTTGTTTTCTCGTTGTAAAATATTTTTAAGGTATCCGTATTTGACTTTGGCGGATACAAATTGTTGGTTGTCTTTACTTATTCATAGGCCTGTACATCTGGACCGGGCAAAACCGAAGCCCGGACCTGGGCCCGGCGGCCCCGGGCCCGACCGGGTTTTTTGGTTTTTTTATTTTAAAAAAAAATTTAAAAATTTTAAAAATCTCTTTAAAATTTAAAATATACATAAAATTTAAAGAAAATTATAGAAAATAAAAATAAAAATAAAAACAATCATATTACTAATAACTTGAAATAACATAAACTACAAATACAAAAAATTATAAAAATAAAAGATGATAAAAATAATTTCTTTTTTAATAATCAGTAAATCTTTTATAAGTATAAATTTATTTCGGAATTCGTCGCATCACAATAGATGAGTACATCCCAACTAGGTTGACAAAGTATAAATTTATTTCGGAATTCGTCGCATCACAATAGATGAGTACATCCCAACTAGGTTGACACCTACTCACCTATATCACTATCCGTCGCATCACAATAGATGAGTACATCCCAACTAGGTTGACACCTACTCACCTATATCACTATCATTTGCAACTATTTTCAAAATAATTTATTACAAAATTAAAGCTAAGAAATAAAAATTATAATTTGATGAATATTGTTTAATCTTTATATCTATCTGCTAGTCCCGACTCTTTAAATTTATCTTCAATTCCAGCCATCTGATCGATGTCTTGCGTTCGCTTCTCGTACCTCCATCAATCTTGTAAGCACATCACCGCTTGTATAGTATACGGATCTAAGTATGTCATGTGATTGTCAATCAAACGTCCTACTGTGCTGAAGGCGGATTCCGAAGCTGCCGTCGAAACCTGCACTGTTAGTAAGTCCCGAACCATGGTGGAAAGTATAGGATATGAAATTGATCCATATACTCTCCACCATTGCAAAATATCTAAAGCATTTCATTAACATTTAACTAAAAAAGCAGATAAATATTCATCTATTTCAGAAACCTCCAACGATGATCCAAGTCTAGACCCACCAGTTAGCTCAGCTATCATTGCATGCCTATTAAAACTTACACTTTTACCTCGGTTTGAGCTCGAAGGCGCCGAAGCTGCAGACTGTTGTGCAGCTACATCATGTCTAGCTGCGTACTCATCATATAAGGTTTGAAAATAATTTCTAATAGCTAAATAATGAGAAGTAGTAGTAATGATGGATCCATCATCTAAGTCTATAATATGTACACCATACAATAATTGTAACAAACTTCGAAGGCCAATATCCTTCAAACATGGATCAATAAGAACCCTCAAACAAAAAATATGAGTAATAGGCCTAAACTACTTATTAAATTTGCTTTCCATTTGAAAATTTATACTTCCAAAAGTATCATTCATACGATATTTGTTAATTTTTTTTTGAATATTTAAAATTTATAAAGCAGCTAAAGTAATAGTTGGATAATAACAACTAGATAATAACATAGTAACATCATAAAAAACTTGTAACATCTCATTTAAATTATATATAATTGTTCATTCATCTTCAGTTATTCCATAAGAGCTACCAGAGTTAGAACTAGAAGCAAAATAATTTATAAAATAATTTATAATTTATTTATATTCTATAGCTACACTTAACATTGCATAGGTGGAATTCCACCTATGGTCAACATCTTTTGGAATTAGTCTAGCCTTAATATTATTTTTATACATTTGTTTCCATCTTTTAAGTCTTTGTTCAGAAGAAGTATGCATATAAGCAATTGTTCTAACCTTTTCTGTCATGAGTTTAATTTCAGTAAATACACTTTGAAGAATTAAATTTAAAATATAACATATACATCTAATATGAAAAAGTTTACCAAGACAAGGCAATGACAGAGTTATTTTGAGAAAATCTACAGCTACATTGTTATTACTTGCATTATCTAGTGAAAGAGAAAATATTCTTTGATCAATTTCTAGTTTCATAAGTTCTTCAACTATTAAATTGGATACATTAATACCAGTATGTGACTCTTCAATTGTAATAAAAGAAACAACTCTTTTAAACATTTGCTAATTTTTATCAATCCAGTGTGTTGTGATACATAAATAACATGTTTGTGCTCTAGATGTCCAAATATCATAAGTTAAAGAAAATTTACAGTTTAAATTTTTAAAATAAGAAATTATTTTTTCCTTGTTCCGTTTGATAATGTTTTAAAATGTCACGTTGACAGGTTCGACGAGAATTTTTTTCAAAATCGGGATAAAAACCATCTCTAAACAAATATTAAAATTCATCATCTTCTACTAATTTAAAAAGAAGGTTTTTAAGAATGATAAACCTGATGACGTATGTTAGACCCTAGAGGGGGGTGATTAGGGTCTTATGCTAATCTAATCCGATTAAATGCCAATTAAAATTAATTAACAAGTTATCCTAGTAAGTATGAAATACCACAAGATATATGAGATAGGATAAGCAATGTAAATAATGAGATATATCCTAATAATGAGATATAGGCAATGTATGTGCAAGGATATATAAACAACACAAGGGTAAATAATCTAAACAAAATAGTGGATGATATAGTAATGAGCAATGCACAATGGTGATATAAGATATGAACATAAATATAAATGAACGTCAAAGCACACTCAAACACAATCAAATGATCACGGAGTTCGGACCTTCCGTCCTACGTCTCCGCTCCCCACTCCCGGGGAGAAATCCACTATCACAACCGGATTTTCTACGCTCACCCGAATAACGTTTACAACCATACTATGTCGGTTTTCAGTTCAGTCCCCACGACCTACGTCTCCGCTCCTCACCTCGAGGAGATCTCCACTCACACTCGGTTTTCTAACTAACCGAAAACCAAATATGAATTTGTTCTCTACAATAGATGAGAACACAATTAAGCACAACTCAATGTTACAATCTCTCACCACCCAACTATACTATGTATGTAAATACTAAAAGCTCAATGTGGGTGTGTGTAACAATGAGTAAAATAAAATCAAATCTAAACTCAATATAAAATTAGCTTTAATAGAATTGATAATTAACAAATAATTATAAGTAAAAGCTAGAGTTGAGTTTAGAAAAACTTCTCTAGATCAAGATGGTTATAAGTAAAAGCTAGAGTTGAGTTTAGAAAAACTTCTCTAGATCAAGATGGAGAGATGGAGATTTGAAGCCCAAACAATAAGATAATCTCCTCCACTTAGATTTGAAGCCCAAACAATAAGATAATCTCCTCCACTTGTGAAAGCTAAAACTGCTTTAAACCAAACCAAACCCTTAAACAAGCTTAAACAAGCTTAAACTCCTTTTAAAACCCTTGTTTAAAAACTTCTTGGCTTTATTGAAAGAGAGCAGCAATAGGGTATTTATACCCACTCTAACTCTCAGTCAAAACCCTTAACAAAAGACAAAACAGCCCCAGCAAACAGCTCAGAAAATAGCCGTTGAAAAAGGCAACAGATCTATTGTCGGTCGACCGGAAATTCTGTTGGTCGACCGACAGAGAACAAAAACACGAAGGACTGTTCTGGACCATCGTCGGTCGACCGGTGCGGTCGACCGATGGAGCTCTCGGTCGACCGGACCGGTCGACCGACCAACTCTCTATCCAAAACATAAAAATATGAGATACTTGAATTTTGATGTTTTGACATAAACCAACTTTTGAAACTTTGTGAAATGTTTCTATAGACTTAGTAAAATATGTATAAACTGATATTGAAGTGTATAAACTAATAAGACAATATTTTCACAAAATTGCATATTCTATGCAATGTTTTCAAAAACACAATAGTAAATATGAAATATATGATTTCATATTATAAACATGTAAACCCAAAACCATGCATGTATATATATAACTATATATATACATAGAAAACAAAACTTATGTATATATATATAACTATATATATACTATGAAACCAATAGATGTGTGTGTATAGATAATTGAGCTTAACGTACTTAACACACATAATATAAATCCTAAACTAAATTACCCAAGCTTGATTTTGATCTTCATTGAGCTCAACTTGGTACACGTTACAGATGAAGCTAAACTTGAATCTTGAACTTGAATTGTACGATGCTTCACTCCATAATTCCGCCAACCTCCTCTTGATATGATCGTGTAGGCTTAATCCATCCAACCTCCAACAACGTTGTTTGTCTACAATACATAGGAATGCACAAACACTAGACAAACAACATTAGTAGTAAATTGTTTGTAAATCATCATCAAAACAAGAAGGCCAACAATTTTCTGGCTCGGGCAGCGTCATAATTCCAAGTACCGAGATTACCAAAAGAGGAGGATAGAGAAATCATATATTGTCGGATATCACCTTGAGGAGTCAGGCATTTGTTGTGTTTTTCTATATGGCGTTTGAGGTGGTTGGTGCCGCTCTTATGATGAGCTTGGAAAGTCCGGCCGCACAACGCACATTTAGCCTTCTGGGTGAGGATCCTACAGTGTT